ATACAACAAACAAACAAAATAAATGATAACTTCCCAAAGTCTCTGTCTGTAAAGATGTCGTAGGCAGTCTGTGTTCAGCAAACTTTAGCTCAATCCTTTTAGGCCAGCTGCTTCGTGACTGGAGTACACAGAGGTCATCTGGTCCCGAGCCCCTCAGTCTGGGAAGGAAACACACAACTAGCAGAGAGTGGGCAAACTTCAAAACGACATGATAAATGTGACCTGGGTGCAACAGGTACTTGGCGCAGGAAGAGAAAGTCACACACTGTGTAGCTTGAGCAAGACTTGCTGGATTTTACAGACGAAATCTCAAGAAGCATGAATCAGGAAGTTCTACAACCAGCACATATTTAAAACACTTCCTGGCACAGGAATATCTGCAATAGGAATATCTCACTAGTCCCCAAAATAAAATAAAAAAAACAGCATAATACAGAATGCATAATAGTATGTCAATTACAGACATATACCTAACATTTGCTTTGGCTTCTGTCCGATTTGGTCTGGAAATAAGACAATAAATGGATGCCTCTAAATTATGAACCATCAGTCAGCATGTGTAATCTACATGGTATCCATCGGTTTGGTATGTTAATACGAAATTACCTTCAAGTGAACTCTATTGCATTTCCTTGACCTTCTTTTAAGAATTGCATAATTGAAAACTAAATGAAAATGATAGGTATGAGAAATATGCAGTGGAGAAACTGCTGCCCCAAACCCAATGCGACCTATATAATTTGAGTTTGCAACTGCCAATTACTGTCTTGGACAGGTTAGACCAGTATATCTCATTGAAGTCGGAAGTCTTATGACTGACGAAATATCTAATTTAGGAGTAAAATCAGGTGTGTTCAGAATCATTTTGACAGCTGTTTGCTAGTCTTCTGTGAAGTTCCTTTCTCACAGCTGCTACCTGGAATTCATGCTGAATAGAACACTGTTAGCTTGCCAGTGCTGCTGTTAAGAAGTACAGAAATGGGGCTGCAGAGGTGGCTCAATGTTTAAGAGAATGCTCTTGCATAGGCATTGGAGACAAAGGAAAGAGCAAACACAATGTCTTTAAAGTGAGAAAGGGCTTGAGTTATTTGAATACATGCTTGTTGGCATGTTCTATGGAGGCAGATCAGTTGTACCTGCTTGGGAATATTTTCAGTTCTGTTGTGCACATGAATGGTGTCATATTGAGTGGTTTAATGACTCTGTATTTTGGTTCTAGAGAGCCAGTGAGGTCAGATAACATGTGTCAGGGTCAAAGTCCCTGGAGGAAGGACCCAAGGTACCACTATTATATGAAGGTCAAAGGTGAGTTGTAATTGAAACTCTAAAATTTGGAGATTCTAGGGCCATGAAACACCTACCAAGAAAGCTGCAGGATGGAATGGAGCTGGCTCAAGAAAGAGAATACGTGTAGCAGGTGGCAGAGCTGGAGGGCAGGTTGTCCAAACACTTTGGAGTCCAGTGGATTCCACTTGTAATAAATGCCAGGTACGGAGCTTCAGGATTTGGTGTTTGCTTTGCTGGATTTCAGTTTTGCTTTGGCTCACTCATTCTTTGCTATGCCCTCATTCATCCCCTTGGAAGAGGAATGTTTATTGGGTACTCTTTTATATAGGATGCAACCTGCTTTTGATTTTTTTTTTTTATAGGAACTCACAGGTAAGAAGTTGCCTTGAGTCCCTGATGAGATTTTGGCTTTGGACTTTTAAAGCATTGTAATTATTAAAGACTATGGGCACTTTTGAAGTTGGGTAGAAAGCATTCTGCATTATAAGCTTATGGGAACAAGGGATGAAAGCTTAAAAGTGATGTGTCTGGGTATCACGCTGACAAGGATAGGAGTTATAATAGTTAATCTTTACTGGCAACTTGGTGGGATATAGAACTATCATGAAAACAAATCAGTGGGCATATATGAAGGATTATCTCAATTAACTGATACAGGGAGAACCATCCTAAGCGCAGGTGGTATCATTTCACAGGCTGGGGTCCTAGAATATAAGTGGCCAAGGCTATGGTTATTCTGTTACACCAACCTGATGTAAGCAAGTATTTTCACAAGTAAATGAATGTAATCATGGGAATCATAATATTGCTGTAGCAAAATTCTGAAAGAAAAAATAATTTCATGTAATTAGGATATACGTCATAATTTTTATCAGAACCCATAAAAATACATAAAAAATACATGAAAAAATATATAACACTCAGTTCTTCTGTGGCTTATAAAGCAGCCTGGACAACAAAAAAATATTTAAATGTAAAACAAACAATGCTGTAAGATTTGAATATTTTACAAAATGCTGTTCAAGTACAGATGTTTAAACATGGGAAAAGTTGTTTCAACTTTGAGGTATATTGCAATTATATAATATAATTGCTAAAAACAAATGTAATAATTTGGGTTTATATACATGTGATATCCTATATTATCTCATTTGCTTCCATAGACTCTTTCCTTAAAAGTGACACATAGTGATAAGTGATGTTTATTAACCATTAATATGTCTTAAAAGATCATGGAAACAAGGGCTAAGTATTTTTTCTTTCTTCTAAATACTTTCCCATGTGTGAATTACTAATTAACTTAGTCTTAAGTAGTTTTAAGAATTAACTTTTATCTAACTTGTCAAATATGCTTCATCTAGGCTCAGAGAATAAAATTTTAGTATTGATGGGCTTAAAATGAACATTTAAAAAAGCCCAGAACAAAACGTAAACCAAACACTCAACAAAAGAACACAACCAGTAGTTTGTAGTTTATAATTTTCTAGAATTCCACTTTTAGTAATATTACTAAATAGTACCTATATTTCTGTTACTGGTTTTGAATCATCTATTCTAAAAAGTGTTCTGTTTTGAAGCCCAGCACTGGCATTTCCTAGCTCTGTGGCCTCCTTCAAATCATTGAACCTTTTATGTCCAGGACTGAAACAATTTCCTCTGAAATGGAACATTCTATCCTGGAGGGAAGCTCTTTCAGGATCAGGAACTTCTAAAGGGCAGCTCATTCAGACTCAGGAAGACAACAACTACTAAGTCTCAGGAAGTTCCTGAAACTTACCCAAGTCACACTAAGCAGTAAGAAGACCTAACGGAGGAAATTCTGACCAATTGAATTGTCCGCTGATGGTGCAGACCTCCATGAATTCAGCTTTTCTGAGTTATCAGCCATTCTAGGAGGAGTGGAACTCTTTGGTGTGGCCAACTTTTAATTGCCCATGATCCTAAAGGAACCTTTCACTCATACGCCAGAGTAAGTAGCCCAAGTTAGACTTTGGAAGATTTCTTTGGTGAGTTGTTCGTACCCTTTCTGGGCTGAGTAGATGTTTCTTCATTATCTACCCAGGAAAGAATCACACAACAGGTTGAAACTTCTTAATCTACAAAACAGAGCCAATAGGACATTAGCACATAGGGTTAAAAAGACTGAATGATGTAAAATTCTTCAAGTGTAATAATACATGGTGGGTAAAATCTGAATTATTTCTCTGCCCTCCTAAAATTGTTACAGTATATCTGTTTTTGTTGTGTCTTTCTTTACACGTCAGCATAGGCTATGAGGATGGCACTATTAGGTAAAGGAACTTGCTGTCAAACCTAATGGACTGAGTTCAATCCCAGGAACCCAAGTGGTGAAATAACAGAACCAACTCCTAAAAGTTGTCCTCTTACCTCCACATAAAATAAATACACACTATAAAAAAATCACATTGTCTACCTATAAAGAGTTCTGTACCCCAAAGATGCTTTTGTATAGTTACTGTACTGGCTAGTTTCACGTCAACTTTACACAAGGTAGAGTCATCAGGGAGAGCTTCAACTGAAAAAATTCCTCATGAGAGCTGGCTGTAGACAAGCTTGTAAGGCATTTTCTTAAATAGTGATTTATGGGGGTGGGACAAGCCAATTGTGGTGGTGCCATGCCTGGGCTTGTGGAAGCCATGAGGAACATGTCAGTAAGCAGCACTCCTCCACGGCCTCTGCATCAGTTCCCGTATTCAGGTTCCTACCCTGTTTGAGTTCCTCTCCTGACTTGTCTTTGGTGATGAACTGTGATGTGGAAACATAAGATGAAATAAACTCTTTCCTCCCATAGTCATTGTGTTTCATCATAGCCATAGTAACTATAACTAAGATAGTTACTAACCATAATAGAGACAAAGATGGGGTGCTTGTAAACCAAGTGAACTGAAAACTTCATCTGGTACTCAGAATAAGGATGATTACGTCTGAGCATGCACTGAAACTGGGCTGGGGAAGGGGTTGCAGACAAGATTAGTGGATGAGACTGTTAAGTTCCTTGTTATCAAATGACACCGTACACACCTACAAACATCTTTTATATATATTAAAACAACTCTAGATTACTCATGATTCTAAAGCAATGTAAGTATTACACAAATGTCTGTTAATACTACATTGTTTATGTAATGTGAAGAAAAATTCTTCGCATGTACAGACTGAACACAACATTGCTTCATATACTTCTGATTTGTGGTTGGTTAAATATGTAGATACGAACCCCTTAGATTTGGAGGACTGACTGAGGGCATTTGTGTGAGAGCTTTGGGCTACATTGCTAGGGTGTAAGCCAAGTCATGAGCATGGGGTATTTGGGGAACTCAGGATGTGTACTTAGTATGAAAGACTGGAGCTGATATGCTTGTAATCCTCTCTCCTCCACAAAATCAAGTGTTGGAAAATTAATTAACAGTGAGAGGTACATAGGTAATCAGCTGCTCAATCTTTCCTTCCTTCCTTCCTTCCTTCCTTCCTTCCTTCCTTCCTTCCTTCCTTC